AGACCATGAGCGATACACACCACTGTATTCGACGTATCTGACAGTGACTCGATATGCATGCAACTACTAAATTTGCATCGCTCCAGCTTATTATTCTTGGCTCAAAGCAAGAAATATGACATATTTTACCCCTCCCGGAGCTTCATATGAAATCTATTCCCATTATGCGTGGAATGTGCCAGATTTTTTTTTAATTACAGGAACGCTACATGTCACAAACACTCCGTCCATGCACACTTTGTTTAGGGGCATTTGGAAAAGCAACATTTGGAGCTTTGCTTCGAAATCATTCTGAAAGGTTACATGGCACTTGAACAACTAGATTTAAAATGGATGACATGAGACGTGCTTGCACTGTTGCATCCACCATGCGCAGTCTCTGGGCGACAAAGAGGCCAAAGTGTTCGAGCCCATCTTCAGCTGTCGCAGGTGGTGATGATACCGTCTGTGTGTGTGCATCATGTTGAGAGGTATCACCGACTTCGCGCAGATGATCTGCTGGATGTTGCTCAAAAGACTGTACAGCATCCTTGAAGTCTTTGCACCGCCTGCAATTTAGTTGCACAACTGTCAGCCATGTTTGTGAAGTGATGCTTTACATAATGCGACACAACTCTTAATATTGCTCTTGATGTGCTACTTAAGTCATGGTTTTCAACATAGGCGTGCACAAGGTTCTCCAGTAGGGAGAGCAAGTCTGACTGCAGCGTTCATCCCGATCACCATAAACATACGTAGGGTTCAGGGTGGTTCGTTGCAGCACCCCCTCTTCCCATTAGTTCAATATAAGAGGCAGACTTTGTGCCAGCAAAATGTACACTGGTGGATGTCATCCTACCAGGATGTACACTACATCCTGGTGGAACACAGGCACATAGTCCAGAAACACTGGTCCTGCAAAGGAACTGTGACCCACTTGTGAAAAAGTGCCCTGGCCATGGTTATGCTGCTCTGCAGTGATGCCAGCGTCTCGAAGTCTTCACGATCAGTGTCCACCTCTGGATCGTCTTCGCCACCAGAGGGCGGGCTGCAAATGCAGAGCCTCATCACAAATTGCAACTCTTAGCAAATGCCTCTTCAAACAGACAAAAATGAGCGGCAATTTTCAAAGCTCCAAAATTTACCACCAGGCAGAGGGTCATTACAAGCATCATCGCTGATTTCCTTTGAGTCTGACACGAAAGAGTTCTAAGCTATAAACGAAGGGGGTGGTTCTAAGAACCACGCTGAGAGAAAAAAAAATGTATTCGAGGCACTGTGGTATAGGTATAAGCGAAGAATTCTCTACTGTTTACAATAATGATAATTGACGGTGTTGATGCTTAAGCTGTTCAAGGCTTCGTGCAATGTGAGTGTGGCGCCATGACCTTGTGGGCACACCGCTTTTAGTAAGTACGCAGAAAAAGAGGTGTGCTTGCTTGAGCTGTTGAGAGTATGTACGAGTCTGTCATACAGCTTAAGGGTTTGTAGCGTAAGGTAGAAGAAAAAAGACGCTGCTACTTTGAGTTCCAAAAAACAACCGCTTTATTTTGATGGTCAAGCGCTCGACCTGCTCATGCCTTCGCTGCCTCGGAACACCATTGCGCGGCAGCCCCCCTCCCCGTATAGACGAAGTCTTGATCAGACCAGTGTGCACGCTTTTTCTTTGTTGTAGATGGCTTCGTGAATAGTAGAAACAGGAATGATCGTACCATTTGCAGAAGTCTGCACATAAGCGGGCTTTGTCCTGTCAACTGACACTTCAAGTGAGAGCATTAAACAGCTTGTTCCGCGGAAATTCCAGTGTCTGCGGTGATGTAAGCGTGTCATTGCAATCGTTGTGAGTGAGCGAAAAATCGCCATCTTGTGTGTGACCGGAAATTCATAAAGATGTAAATAAAATAAATAATAAAAACTCCCAGGTTCGAGTCAGGTAGGAACCCAGGCCGTTTGCTTGGCAAGCAGGTGGTCTACCCCACAGCAATATGCGTCTGCTCTAAAATGCAAATAAGATAACTTACTCTGCTTGCAAATGCAGTGAAAATAACATTCATGCTTTGTAAACACACGCGTCTTGTGTACAAGCTTTACAATACAACATGTAATATTGCAATAACATTGCGTGGTAAAAGCGTACATTGCCACAGGGCGTCGGAACATGTGATCAAAGGGCTGAAACCGTGCGACAAGCTTTCATGCTTATCGCACGGTTTCACGCTGTTTCGCACGGTGTCCCACTGTCATGCTGAAGTGTCGGTGAAAAAGGTCAAAAGTAAAGCTAAGAGCCTGCTTCGCAAGTTAAACCATGTAATTGTCCATAAGAACATGTCAGATGCCAAGGAAGATTTCCTTGAATCCTTCTTCACGCGAAAACGCATACGGTCGACATGCCTTTTAGGCTAATTATATCTGAAAATAACACCTGGCAAAAATGTGTTGTGCTCTACCTGCAGAAAACCTTGAAATGCCTAGAAGTGAATGATCCATTTTTGGTAAAAGTTCATGCGAAGTCCAGGAGTTTATTTCATCGCGTTGGAATAAGACTTTATTCGCCTTCTCTGTAGACGTAAAGGACCTGTACTATTCTATTCCGCATGACTCATTATTACAATGCATTGGAGAATATATAGATGAGTTTGGCACCTAAAAATTCCAGACTGAGTCTGGCGTCAGCATCAGTGGATTTTTAGAGCTTCTAAGGTTTTACCTTCAGTCGACGTACATCCTATAAGATGAAAAACCTCACCTTCGAAAATCCGGTATCTGTATTGGTTCTTGCATCGTTCCCATCGTCAGTGACCTGTTTTTAGGCAAATTAGACAGATCCATTTCGGAAGTTTTCATTAACACTAATGTGACGCACGTTTTCAGATACGTAGATAATTTTTTTATTTTTATGGACACTGATGTTGCATCGTATAGGAATGACGCTCTTGCAGTTTTAGACCTGGTGCGAAATGGTTTCAAACATTTTGAGCTTACTCATGAACTTTCTGATAATTGTGAAATCAGGTTCTTTAACTTTAAGCTATTCCTGAATAATGGACGCACTTGCTGGATGTATCAACCACGTGGAAATAAGCCTGTTTTGCCGTTTCATTCCGCACATTCTAAATTAGTTAAGCGAGGTATCGCAAAATCTTGCTTCGTGAATGCCTCGCGAAAGTTCTGTGTGCACAAGATTACAGAAAGCTTTGTTGAGCAATCTTCAAGGCTGACGTCAACTGGTTACCCCGACTAGGTGCAAGTTTCCATTGCCGAAGGTCTGCTGCGTGAACTTCAGGCCAAAGGGAACGATAACCTAGTCCCACCTGTCACAGCTAGACAGGCTTTCGCCGTGGTTCCGTATATGCACAAGATAGCGCACAATCTTAAGAAAGTGGCACAGCGAGTTAATGTGAAGGTGGTCTGAGGGAAAATACGTACAATGTGGATCACTATAAACAAGGTTGGCTGTCCGTTCACTGCAGCACGTGTGGCTGCAGGCCAATATTTTCAGAGTGTACTGTACTATTGTTCCAATATGCAGGAATCCCAGCACATGCGAGATCATAGAGGCAGAAAAGATTTGCGCATTGAAAGATGCTTGTGTTAGCACCCCTTCTGTCGTGCTCACCGATAAGGAAAAGTTGTTCCTTTGCTTGTCGGTGTGATGTACTTATGCATTGTAATTGTGTGTCGCGCATGACTATTGCGACTGGTGAATGTATAAAAGCGAAGAACTTCGCAAGAAATAAATTGTTGGCAGTTCAGCCCTCTGTCTCGTCTCTTCTCCTGTCTCCTCCTGCCCTGTCGTTTGCGCTGGTAAGCACTTTTTATCATGTTATACCATACGCCTAATCCTACTATCTCTTCATGTACAAGTAGCTGAAAACCTTCCTAGCCCAACGCTCCTCCCTTATTTCTCTCCATCCCTTATCCCAACTAGCCCGACAGCATACGTTACTGAATCCCTTATCAAATTTATCTTGCTGCTAGCTTCCCTGCCCTCAAATGATGTACATCCCATAACACCTTGTACTCCCTGATTTGGTGTATTCCCGTGAGCTCCTAAATCAAGCCTACCTATTCCACGTTGCTTAATTTCTAATCTTGCTTGAACTTCTGATCTCATGCACAAGACCGCGTTGCCGAACATCAGACCCGGAACCATGACCCCTTTCCATATTCCTCTCACAACATCATAACTATTGTAATTCCACAGTGCCCTATTTTTCATCACCGCTGCATTCCTGTTACCTTTAGTCATTACGTATATTTCGTGTTCCCTTAGGTACTTGGACCCATTGCTTATCTATAGGCCCAGATATTTGTATTTATCTGCTATCTCTAGCGTGACCTCCATTATCCTTAGCTCACTACCTTCATAATCATTAAATATCATGACTGATGATTTTTTTCTTACTGAATCAGAAATCTAACCTATCTCCCTCATTACCGCAGATGTCCATCAATCTTTGCAAATCTTTTTGTTGTTGGCCATTAGCACTATATCATCTGCGTACATTAATGCTGGTAGTGCCTGTTCAATGAGTTTTCCTTGTTTGACGAAAGAGAGGTTGAAGCCAAGTCCACTTCCCTCTAATTTGGCCTCTAATCCTTGTAGGTACATCATGAATGACAAGGGTGACAGAGGACACCCTGTCTAAGCCCCGTTTTACGTCTGTGGGCTTGGATACCTGTTTTTCCCACTTTATAACTACCTTTTTACCTTTATGAATACCCTTTAAAAGATTAGTGACTACGTGTTCCACGCCTAGTGTGTCCAGATTCTACACAAGTCCTCTTGAACCACGCTATCGTACGCTCCCTTGATATCCAAAAATGCTAGCCACAGGGGCCTGTGTTCCTTTTCTGCTATTTCGATGCACTGCGTTAGTGAGAACAGATTGTCTTCCAACCTACTGTGTTTCCGAAACCCATTCTGCAGTTCCCCCAGCACCCTCTCATCCTCTATCCATGCCTGCAGCCTTTTCTTTATAATCTGCATTGCCAGCCTGTAGATCACTGATGTCACTGTTATAGGACGGTATTTGTTTACGTCAGCTTTGTCCCCCTTTCCTTTATGGATCATGCTCATTCTGCTAAGTTTCGATCCATCGGGGACTTCACCATCGATTATTGTTTTGCTCACTGCCTCTCTCAAAGTCTGTTTAGACTTCGGACCCAATGTATTTATCAGCATGATTGGGATGCCATCTGGGCCTGTTGATGTACTACTAATAACCCTCTTGTCAGCCTTTCCCTCTCTCGTGAAAATGGAGCCGTTGCGCCACTTGATCATCCTTGTCTATTGTGTTGCATAGGGCACTTCTTCGTTGAAAATTTTCTGTCACCCTTGTTCTTATGTTTTTCTTCTTTATTTGTTTCTTTCTGTGCCAGTATAGAAAATGGAGCGAAGGTAAAAGGCTGAAAGCCTGACTAAGGGCCTTTGCTCCAAATACAGTGATGCAGACAGGCTGTCATAAGAATTTGCTAGGATACAGAAAAAATACAAAAAATATACAAAAATACAAAAGGAACATGTGCAAGTACTGTAACACATACAACAGTAAAAAAGTGTGTTTCTAGTAAACCTTCTGCGCATATACCACGCGTTCCTAATGAGTCACATCAATTACGTCGCCTCTGCCCACAACTGGACGAAGGTAGAAAGACGAACTAAACACACTCATGCGCAAAAGCATTAAACAAGTCCTTGGTTTGCCTCAAAACACGAGCACTTCCCGTCTCGACCAACTAGGCATGCACAACGGCATCGATGAAGTGATCGAGGCCCAGACCACGGCCCAAGTGATCCGCCTCTCCTCCTCCAAGGCAGGCCGCCGACTTCTAAGCGAGGCCGGCATGTCCCCACACCCCTGCCTTGAACGCGCAGTAACCCTCCCCAGAGTTGTCCGAGCTACTTACATGGTAACCCCATTTCCGCGAAATGTCCACCCACAACACAACGAAGGCAGACGGCTGGCCCGCGCTCGCGCGATCCTAAACCGTACCGCCGCGAATCGCAACTCTACCGCATTCGTCGACGCAGCGCAATACGGTAAC